ACGTCTGACTTGTGATGTTATGTGAGCAATCGTACTGACTTTCTGGGTGTGGCAGAGAGTTAGTCAGAAGGGTGTGACCCACAAAATGTATGACAAGGAGAGCAAGTTTGACCATGGTGGAAAACTCAAATATTCATGTCTGCATACCTGTGTTTTAATACAGCTGAACCTGTGGCAAACCAGATGGAGTCTTTTTCAGAAATTGCAAGGTGTGGTTGTGGTTTGAATGTTATGTCATCCCTTACTTAGAAACTTGATGAACTTGCGTTCACGTATTTGGAGGTGACCGTGATAGAGGTGGTTTGTATTCATCCCGTATTAGCAAGACTGCTGGATTATGGTTATCTTGGGATGTTCAGACCAGCAGTGTAGTGAGGAGTTCTTTGGATATTCTCTTGGCCAGGAGATTCATATTACTTAAAAAACCAAAAGAAACAAAAAAACCCCTGCCCTGTGCCCTCCAATATGCTAGAAGTAGTCTTTGTATTTTAACTTGAAAATTCATCAGCTGTCATGCTTTAGCTAGGCGATCCCTGTGATATACCTGAAGGCCAGCCCATGTCAGTGAGGACTCCCTTGGTATGTGTGTCCTTCAGTCATGCTGAGAGCCTGTGTTGGTATAGTCACTTTTTCTCTAAGATGATTGTTTGAGAAGGAAGAAGTCAGTTTTATTCATTGGTTTCTAGTTCGTGTTCTTTCAAAACTTAAGGACTTGTCTCTAAATGTTATAAATAAAGCTCTGTTAGTATCAAATTATTATTTTGAAATTTAGAGATGGATATGGAAGAGACTACAGGTAATAGTGTGTATCAGTGTTTTTGTAGCTTGTTCATGAATGTATTATATTAAACATTTTTTCCATCTTTCTCCTTCTCATAAAAAGTAGAGAAAACAGACACGAGTATGCAACTATATTTATTTTAATGCTTTATTTACTTACTCATTTTAGATTTTGTTTCTAGATTTATCGCTACCATCATTCAACTGCTTTCAGTGAAGGTGTGTTACCAGAGTTTACCCCATTACCTCTGCAAGACTCTTGCTGTTGAATCTCCGCTCAACAGATAATTGGCAGTATTTGTTCAGCTGTCACATTCCATTTTACTCTTGAATTCAAAGATAATGAAGACTATGTTTTGCCAGTCTAGACCATGGGCACTATCTTGTTAGCTCCAGTTATTTCCTTACACCTTATTAGCGAGAGTGGTTTCCATAAGAAGCTGTGCTGGGTTCTGGTTGTTCTAGATCACAGCTGGAGTTTGGTGGGTCTCTCATTCCGGTTAGATCAATACAGTTGCACTAAATTTTGTTTACCTCTTTGTACTTCCTGACACTACATAAACTCATTTTTTGATTCTTCTGTGCTTGCTTTGTGGCTTTGGTATGCTTTCAGACAATTTCTGACATAATTAAGATTTTATGAATTCATATTCTCTGCATTCTCTTGGCATGTGAGTGCATTTGCTTCAGTGCCAGTGTTTCATTAGGAGCTTTGAGTTCAGTGCGTTGGTTCCTACTTCTGCAATGGCATTATTAATTTTGTAATTTTTAAGTTTGATGCTTGTATTATACATTTCTCTTTCTAGTCCCAGAACATTTTCATGATGTGTACTGTTAAGTAATAAATTTCTGGCTGGAAACTGAAGTACTATTTTTAATCATTAAAGGTATAAATGATTTGAGACCCAGTTACTTGAGGGAGCAAGTTGAGTGCAGTGGAATTGTTAGACCTCTTTTGCTATAAATGGGAGGAAGCAGTGAATAGACTGCTCTCTGTAAAAGCTTCTCAAATTGAAATTAATTTCTTTTCTTGTTCTAGCATATCCCTGTTTGGCTAATCTCTTGAGTGTAATGAAAGCTCCATCTCCGTATTTTATTGTAGGTTGGTGAAAGTTCTGGATGGCAGTCTAGGTGTGATTTGGTTCCCTAGAGCTTGAATTTTTAAGATTGTCTGTTAACTGGAAAATGGAGCTCGGGTTCTTACTAATTTATTTAAAATTTCAGTGATTTCTCATTGTAGTAGCTTTGTCACTACTTCAAGGTAAAACATTTTGTATGTTAGTGCATCTTCTACAGCAGGTGTCCTTAGTTAAGTTAGTATTTGGGCTTGACTATCTTAAAATTTAGATTCACTTTGTACTTGCTAAGTTACTGTGTAGAGTTAATATGCAGACAGATGAGGCTCAGCCGAAAATAATATCCTGAACAAAGACTAACCAGAAATCATTGCCTTTGTTAAGGAACCCTCTTCGTTGCTAATCTAGTTCCTTAGGCAAGTGCACTAATGTGATCGAATTGACGGTTAGCCTGCCCTTCCAGTTTTCGAAGCTATTGGCCAGTATCTGCTCATTTGACAGTATTAGAGATCTCAAAGATACTCAGCTTTTATACATTTTGTGAATATTGGCAATTCAGCAGTAGAGGGAGACCTGAAGTAGCAGCTTTTGTCTCCAGGTTAATCGCTAATATTTTGTTTTACCTGCTGGTTGACCACTTTGCACGCATGTTGCTCTGAAGTAACTACATTGCTGTATTGCCTTTCACCAATAAATAGACAGGACAAATGAGGAATCCTAGCTAATTTTGAGACTTGGGACCAGAGGCAGGGAACTGGAGAAAATGCAGAGAAAGGTGATCATAGGACACCTGGGAGGAGTTGGGATTTTTGCATGGAAAGGGGTAGAGATGGTGTATAGGAACCTATGCATTACTAATTTCACAGCTCACAAAATAGCTTTAATGTTAGCCCTCATAAAGCTGCTTTACATGCTTGTTCCTCTTTCTTAGTTTCATTTTCTCTGTCTCGCCTAGCCGGTTTAAAACTGGTTCTGTGGCTTGCCTTGAAACTCTGCTTCTATCCTGCACAGGGTAGCTCTTTGTCATTTCAGAAAGTAGTTACTAAAATTGACTTGGCAATAATGTCTTTCTCTAAGTCCGCAAATAAACTTGTGGCCGATTAAAGCAAAAAGTACATACACAAATGCTTACAGTATTCAGAAGTGAATATGTACACTGTTAAAATTTTGTGGAAAGTTGGTATTTTGTAACTGCAGAGTGTTGTGTAAAACAGCTGGGTGGCTGCCCATGTATTTTACAGTGCTATGCAAGGTGCAAGTGTTTTGTTTTTAGGAATGGTGGTAGTTACCTCTGCTACCACTTAGTCAGAGTCTTAGTTTTAGGTCCCAAATTCTACTTCATCTGATTTAAAGTTTTAATTATGATCTTCTAGTACAGATATTATTTTAAGTTACATTGATGTACTTCCTGAAGAAGTGAAATAATGAGGAAGAAAAAAGTGTGAGTTTTGGGTTTTTTTACTAGGGTTAAATGAGTCCTAAGATTGAATCTTAATGTAGACCTCTTTCTTTCCCTGGGTTTACCTTAACAGGCTAAAAATTGTCAGAAGTTAAAACTATTTTTAAAATGAGTTGTGAACATGGGCTGGTTAGCATTTAATAGTAGTTTTTTGTATTATCAGAAGTATTTATAAGTATTTATAGTAGAAATAAAAATAACATATAATGTATTCAGTAGGTAAATACTATATCATGATGAATACCATATTTATTAATTTATTAGTACCATTATAAGTATTTACTATTATTTAATATTTGTTAAAAATATACGTTGGGGGACAGAGCGTTAAGACGTGATGCAGACAGCCTGTTTCACTCGCAGCTTTCTGTTCCTGCAGACAGTGGTCCCGTCCTCACCTCATGTTTTTTTCTGGTGTTATCTTTCGTACTTGCCTGATCCCTCAGTGAAATGATGGTAGGTCAAAGAAACATCAGAAGAAGGTCAAAGGAGGGTGGAGTGGTGCTGTGTAGCCAGGCAATGGGCCAGTCCCCGGGTTCAGTGGTGCTGAGCTGTCTTGTCGAACTGCACCTGTACATTTGGATTTCTTTAGGCTTTGCCACTTTCTAAATACTGCGCTGTGATAGTCTGTCTTCCTCTCAAGAAAAAGACTTTTGTTTTTAATTTTCTTGAATATCTGAAGTACAAATCAGATTGTTGTTAATAAGCCTGATGAACAAACAGCACTTCCATGATCATCTCCTTGCACATAAGTAAAATTATCTTCTGTTCTTAGTTTAAGTGCTTACTGACAATTCCTGGAACTTAATATTCCGAAATTGGTTACTCTTTTCTTGCAAGAGAGGATATTTAGTTTTTTAATCAAGACTGTTTCCGTGAGCTAAAATTTGTGGTTCACAGAATCTTGGTGTGTTGTTTGTTTGTTGCTTTGTTTTTTGTGGTTCACCTTAGCAGAAGCAGATCCTCCAAAGTTTGCTGTCTGTCCCCTTCTAAGGTACAGCTCTGAAGTAACCCCTTGCTACTATCTATGAGTTTCTGTTTACGTTTGCTCTGATAAGTGCAACAGAAAAAAAAAAAACCCTCTGGTAGTGTTTAGGTGCTTCTTAAAGGTGTTAAGGCTAGTGGTGTTAGTGTGTATAATGCTGTTAATGAACACATTAGACAAAAAATGCTGTAAAAGTATAAAGTCCACTTTCAATTACTCCTAGCTGTGTGTTTCACAGTCTAAAGAAGAGGACAAGGTATTGCAAAACTCTTACAAGAAGGAAGAGCATAATGTGACTGTGCAAGCATTTTAAAGACAAAGATAATGTCAGTGGAATAAATTCATACTATGTTTCTAAGTATCTTAATTTTCCTCAGTCCTTTTTTCTCTTTATTGTGCTATTTTTTTGCAAGTAAGAGTAACAGTATTGTGTATGATATACAAAATACAATGGGTTAAAGAAACAGAATGCTTGTTCAGAAATGTAAAATATTATAGAAAAGTTTAATATTTAAAATAAAATATGTTTGTAGTTTCTAGTAATGTTTTCAGAATAAACATTTTTTAATATTTCACACAAGCTGATTACTAAGAGTTTGATAGAGACTTCCCTTTTACTAAGCTTAAGATTCCTCTTTTTCTGTAAGGATATATACAAATGAGCCAATTAAGTATGGTCTGATGCTTTTTTTCTTTTCAGAAAGATGAAGGTAGTGATGCTAGTTTGAGTGATAGCCACATATCTCCTCCCGCCAAACGTACCTCAAAACATGCTGATCCTGTGTGCAAAGACAAATCAAAATCACGCAGTACTGGGCAGCGAGAGGAATGGAGCATCTCAACTGGACAGTCCAGGTAACTTGGTGCCAAGAGAAAAATGAAGTCTTCCCAATTTTTCCTGTATTGTTAACCTGCTTACACTATTTCTGCAGTAAGCTGCAGCTCATGCTCAGGAGTGTGCATTTGAAGCGTGTTATTTTCATACAATTTTCTTTTAGTTTAAGACTCCAGGAACGTGGATTACATCAATCCTTTCATCTCTCTGTTTCCTTTCTATGCATGTTTGTGCAAAAATGGAAAGTAATTTTGAGATGCAGTGTGAATTCTAGATTCTTGATATATCTGAATGTAGTGACTTAGGTGGTATTTTTATGTACTCAAGCTGTAAGAAGACATGACACTGTAATTAGGAAATCAGTATTATCATTCTTAGGGAATGGATAATGATCAAGTTTCTTTCCGTTGTTTTTTTTCAGCCTCTTTTCCCTGTTTGGTTGTAAGGACTCAAGTAAATGACTGTATTTTATTAAATACGGCCTCAATCCTGCCACATTTTTGTAACTCGAAAGAGAAGTAATTAGTTTCATTTTGTAACTCTGATTAATAATATTTTACAAAGCGTTCTTGTGTTCATAAGGTTCTTCACATGATTACAAGTAATTATGAGACAGTGTAGGCAGTATGTTCCTAGCCCGTGAACTTTTAGTTAATACTGATTCTTTTGTAGATACGTATTTCATATTTGTATACAAATCAAAATCATTCTTGCAATGCTTTGTATGTAAGAATGACTGTAATTCACTAGTGGACTGCCGTCTGCTAGGATGAAGTATATTTAAAAACTATGTAAATCTTAAAATAGATCTCTTTGTTTTTCCCTTTTAAAACAAAGTAAATTAAATATTGCATATTATGTGCCATGGTCATCTGTGAATGTACTGAAGCTCATACACCTTCTGTTTCTTTTGTTTGTAGGTACAGACTTTTACTGTACCTATTAGAAATCATAAGAAATAAAAAAATATTTAATGTGGATGGGAGAATTTATAGATCACTGTGTCGAACAAAATTTGGCCAGGATACTGAAACTCATGTTGTTACTCATGTAGAACCCACTGCGCTGTGTATTTACATCGGAGTTGTTTTCTGCCAAAATCCAAAACGCTGGGCCTAATAATAATCTTGAGTCACTAAGACTTTTCCCAGAAGTTTTGTGGCTTCTACTAGTTTATCCAAATAAAAGAGATGTTTAGATAATTGAGGGGATTCATATAATTGGTATTTGGCAGTTTTGTCCTCATTCCAATGTTGGGCATGAAGCGGAATCTTCAGAGGCTACGTATCACAAGGGTTTTGAAGTCATACTGTATCGTGTAACATTCTGTGTTTGAAGTTGTATCTCACTGTGTAAGTTTTGCTTGGCTAAGGAGTGTTAAGATTATTTGTGTATCTAATATAATTGTTTCCTAGGTTAACTTCTCAGCCTGGTGCTACACTACCAAATGGACGTAGCTTATGTAAGTGTATTACAGTGGACCTTTTTTTATCTACTTTTACATTTAATAATTTTATGTCAATGATTTCCAGTTGCATATATTTTTTGATAACTTTACTGATTACTCTGACCATTTTGACCAGAAAAGTTACTGTTTTGGCTCAGTTTTCTTCTGTTAACATCTTGGATGCTCTCTGTGGACATGGGGAACATTCTTAGATGAAATTTCCATTTCTCTTCTCAATTCAGACCTCTTGGCCACGATCTTGATGTTTTCCTTAATTCCCAAATTTACTGTTATGAACTAATTTTGGCCTTCCTCTCCCGGCTGGTCTCTTTAATTTACTTGCGCTCTTTGCTCGTTTAAAATTTGGCCTTCTGTGGTTCTTAACGTTACTTGACTCTGCTGTTGCTTTAGAGAGACCTGCCTTGTCTGCAGCTCCTGCTACCTTGAGCAATTTTCCTCTATGCTTGTACCTGACAAACTTGCCATCTCATTGCGTATCTCAGCTAAAACCACTTTGTCTTTTGTGTCCCTTTTTCATCAATTCTGTCTTGTTTAGTTCTGTGTTGACTCTATGTAAGTGTTAATCCATTAAGCATATTTAGTATTTTTATTATTTATTGTGGTGCCTAAGGAACAATCAGGAGTGAGATCTGGTTTTGTTTGGCACTGTACAGAGTAGCTGATACAGATTTGCTTGTGAAATCAATATGTTGTATCTGACCTTTTGATACTATATTTGAAAGACTTAAGAATTGAAACTGTGAGCCAAGTGTGCATTTTAATATTGATGTTAACTTAAAAGATATTGAATGGATATTTGAATGCCAAATTTTCATCATAAAATAAGATTATTGTATAAGGAAACAAGCTCGAGTCTGAAGAAATAGCTTGTAAACCAATTTTGATAGGAGTTTAAAAAATATATTTCTTTAGTGAATATAAGGGTGCTTATACTGTGCTCCATAACTTTTGGTTTATTGTCCTTGCTAAGTATTCTCTTATTAATTCTTGTTTGTGAAAATGTTGTTTCCTGCATTTTGAAGTAGTAATACAAATTTCTCTTAGCTCTCAAAAGCCATCCCCTTCGAGGGGAAAAAAAGGGAGATGGGGACCATGCTTGCATAAACGGAGATATAGAAGTCAGAAAAAGTTGTCGGTCCAGGAAAAACAGATTTGAAACTTTGAATCAGAGTTTATTGTTTGATCAGCTAGTAAACAGGTATGTGGGGATACTTCAGTTGTATTCACAAAACATCTTAATGAATTTTTTAAGAAGTTAGAAAACCCTGTCTTCCAGTGCCATCAATGTGTTTTACTGTGGGAATGTGTTAGCATTGAGGCAAGCGAGATTGTGGTTTGAGTTACAGGCGGGGTCCTGTGCTGTAACTGCCTATGTTATCCATGCTCTAAATGCAAAGCAACTTACCAGACTTTCAATGAGGAATAAGCTACTCTGTGTTTAAACCTGGATAAAACTGTGTATGCTGGCAGTTACTGCAGAGTGGCTGACATGCTGTGAATCCACACTCTAGTTTGTTTTTTAGTAACCTGTTTATGTAGTGATACCCTAAATGTGGTGTAAATTGGTGATTAGCAACAATGCTTGGAAGCTTTCTAGATTTTGCTTATATGATTTTGATCATAAAATATCAAAAGTTTGTAGCTTTGTTTTTGTTTTTGTTTTTTACCATTTGTTAGTAATTCACATAGGGTGGGTGTCACTTTTTGACATTTACTGTGCAGACAAAGTAGGTCAGAGAGGGAGGCACGGTCTGGTCTGAGCATAGGAATGGGAGCCTGAAATACTTTTCTCGAAATATTATTTCTGTGTGACCCTCAGCAGGTCACTTAATATGTCTCAATTTTCCCACCTGTAACATGGATTTTAATAGTCACATCTGTGAGAGATTGCTTGCTCTAGTGCTTGGAAAATGATTTAAACATAAACATTTAATTGCCAAGTATGCTCTTTATTGTTAAATGTATTCTGTTGAATCTTTTATTATTTGAATTTTATTTTTTGATTTACTCAGTAACTACTTGGTATCAGTTTACAAATTTATATTGAGTTACATTTATTTTTCTAGTTGCAGTTGAATCTCCCTCTCCTCATCAACAATAGGAAAAAGTCTACCATGAAGATTGTAATTTGATAAGATCATGGTACTGAAGTCTATATATGAACTTATACTGATAACAGTGTGTCCCATAATCATTGGAGGTTTTTAAGAACAGGTTAGACAAATGTCTGTCAGGAATGATTTCGGTATTGTGTAGTTTGTCCTTGCCTGGCAGAGCAGGTGGACTTTTCCAGGTCCCCTCCAACCCTGTCATCTTTGATAGCAAACTATAGTGTGATTTTACTTGAAGTGGTTATGTCACACATCACAAATATTTTAAAAGAATTGTTTAAAATTGAGAGGAGCGGTCGTAATGAAATCTTGACTTTACTGACTTCTGTCACCAGAACTCCCATTGACTCCTTCCTAGGCAGGATTTCACCCTTTAGCTTTACTTTTACACAGCTTAAAAGAAAGGAAGTGAAGGTTTCTGCCTTCTTAAAATTATTATACAATTATAGTAGAATCCCAGTGGAAACCTACCATAATCACCACAGAGAGCAATAACTTGATGTTCAGGACAGGTGGCCAAATAATTGACTTGGCTTGGCTAATACTCTGTTGTTTTCTTCCTTAGCAATGAAGCATCTTGGCCAAGGTTATTATTTATACACCACCGTTGTTTTGACGGCTGTTTACAAATACTTCAGATAATGAAAACGTAGACTAATTAAATAGTAGATGAGCAATAGTAGTAAGGTCAGATAATGAATGATGAAATTGTAGGTGTTACTGATTTAACATTTAAAAAAAATCCTTTATTTACTAGTGTCTTTCTGAGGCCAGAGTAATTTATTTTCTTATTCTTATTCTGCAAACTGAATCTTATCTGACACCTAATGTAACATCTAAACAGTTAAAAATGTATATTCTACAATATACACTGAGTGAAAATTTTTTAAAAAAATGTTTTTAGAAACAGCCTAATTTGAACCCCAGATTTTAATAGCATCAGCATGTCTTCTTTTGCATACTCCTTAGTTTATAATCTGTAGATTCATCTTTCAGTTTTCTTTATTGTGATTAGTTTTGTAGTTAATTGCTAGGTTCAAGTAGCTATCCTAAAATTTTCAGATTTTAATTCATTTGTATATGTAGTTGACTGAGGACCTTGGAACAGCCATAGCAGACCATAGAATTAGATATGTTAAATTGTTGGATGCTATGTAAAAAGTTCTGCAGGTCTACTATTCTAAGACTGATTTTTTTTGTGTTAACTGTTGCATATATTTTAGTACTGCTGAAGCTGTCCTACAGGAAATGGATAATATTAACATCAGGAGAAATAGGCGATCTGGGGAAGTAGAACGGCTGCGGATGTGGACAGATACAGAATTTGTAAGTGCAGAGTGTCGCAGATGTTGGATAAAAGTAATATCAATGGGAAGTGTGTTTACTTTTGCGGTCTCCATACATTTGTCTGTAGCTTTATAAAAAATTTTCAGATCCTCTTCAGTCAATAACAAAAAATTTGATAAACTCAAATTCAGAACAAAATTTATGGATATATACTAAATCATGTTTTCTTTACTGATGAATTGACTGCCATACTCTCATGATGTACTGTGGTGGTGGTTCTTTGGTTTGAAGCACAATCTGGTAGCCTGAAAACAGGACTAGGGACTGTCATTCGCTTTGTTCCCTGAAACAGCTTGATACTGATGTTAACTATGTATTAGATGGACTAGGTACTGTCAGAGAGACTTATTTTACCACCTATTAAATGAAACTGCTTTTATAGTCTACCTGTGGAGGATTCTTGGAAAAAGACATGGAGGCTAGGGATTGTGTAGAGTATTACTTACTGGGCTGTGGGCTAGCACTGTGAGTGACGTGGGACAGTACTGATGGGACTGTATGTGAATTTTGTTCCAGGAAAACATGGATATGTATTCTCGAGTGAAAAGAAGAAGGAAATCACTGAGGAGAAATAGCTATGGGATTCAGAACCACCATGAAGTGTCCACAGAAGGGGAAGAAGAAGGTAAGGGTTGTAAAGAATTGTAAGGATTTGTCTGAAATACTTACAAAACAAAGCTCTATGCAACATAAGATAGCAAAATATTGCACTACAGAGAGTAATTTGATTTTGGATCTGGATTTGGAGTTGCTAAATAGACCAATTAACAAGACTATTGCAAGTAAGTACACACCAAAGGATTCCTCCTCTTTAGGAGAAGTTTTGGGGATCTCTACATAGTTTTCTTTAAACAAAAGCAAGTTTATCTGAAAGTAGCAGAACAAAGCCTGCTTCATTCTGTTTCTAAATGGTTGTATACTACGTTCCCTTACTCCTGTTTTCCGTAATGCTAAGTAATTGGAACTTTTGTTATATTCCCTGTAACAATCCTCTGGTGGAAGCCAGGATGTGATGCATATAGTTTACAACTATGCATGTTCTAGCTGACTTGCTATTTATCGTATGCTGAATGGCAGTTACCAGAAAGAATGTGTAATAGTCAGTTGTGCATCCTTCCTTTGGGGAAGGTAGTCTTTAAAGTCTCTGTTTTCTATCCATCCACTGGATTTTAGAAGGCTTGTACACACACAACTGTATTTGAAATTCTACCTTCCTTTTAAAATTTGGATGAAATTGACCAGTGGGTTCAAAAAGTATTGAGAAGGAAGGGATTATGGCTGACTTTGATGGCATGATCAACAGCATGTTTGGCTTCCTTAAGAATTCAGACTCAAACTGCAGGGATCCATACAGGATCAGTTTTGAACTGAAACTGCTATAAGAGGTATGGTCTGTCCATTTGATAAGAATGCAGTCTTAATTCTGAGATCCATGGATGGAAATTCTGATCGTATTAATAGATGGACCTAGGTGGTAACCTTTATACAATGTGTTTATTTGCTTTGTGTAAAAATGATATTGTGAATTGTAAAGTTGTACTTCTTTTCATGCTATGTCAAATACTTGATTTTCTGAGGCTCCTGTGGGAAAAGAGAAGAAAGGCATTATTCTTAATTTCAAAGATAATTATTGAAGGAAAAAGATAGTGGATGGAAGTGATATTTGAAGTACTTTATACCTAAAACTAATTTAACTACATTTGTTTTTCTTTTGTTGCTTTTCCAGAACCTTCTGTGGGAAACTAGAAGGAAGTTTGACAATGTGCTGTAGATTTATCTTGGTCTTCCAATTTGCAGTGATTTGCCAGTTAGTGTTAATTAATAAGAGGGGAGTAATTCTCAGTGACCATTAAAATATTAATTTTTAGGATGAAGATAGCTCTGGCATCAAGTAGAAATGTTCTGAAAATATTTCCTCCCCCCCCTCCCAACAGAATCTCAGGAAGAAGATGGAGATATAGAAGTAGAAGAAGCTGAAGGAGAAGAAAATGATCGGCCGTATAATCTCAGACAGAGGAAAACTGTTGAAAGATACCAGGCCCCTCCAATAGGTGAGGAACTGGGCAGTGCTCATGCAGTTCTGCTCTACTGACCTCCAAGAATACCATGGGTATGGAAAGGAAAAAGTTGGATGACTGGTCCTTATCCCTGACAGAGTTCCCACACAGCACTTTGTGACTTCCATCTTGCCTCTGTTTTTGTTCACCAAGTGAATAGGACTACTGAGACACAATCTATCAGTCTGTCATTGGTGGTGGCATTGCTAATATGTGCTGCCTCATTGAACTTGAACATGGCAAGTAGTGCCATGTGCTGGGCTCAGGGTTGGAGGTGAAGAAAGTTTAGGCCAGGAAATAGTTGATGGAAGTTGAATTCAGAAAGCAGTCTAATAAATTAGGTAATTATATAGAAAAAATAGTTACTGTCATGCCTGCTTCTCTTTGTAAGTGGTAAGCCTCATTCATATGTGTAGATAAATTACATAGCAGCAGTTACCACATTTAGATGTGAAATGTAGAATAGAATAGTTCAGTTGGAAGGGACCTACAACAATCTTCTGAGTCCAACTCCCTGACCACTCCAGGGCTGACTAACAGTTAAAGCATGTTGTTAAGGGCATTGTCCAAATGCCTCTTAAACACCAACAGGCCTGGGGCATCAACTGCCTCTCTAGGAAGCCTGTTCCAGTGTTGGACCACCCTCTCAGTACAGAAATGCTTCCCCATGTGCAGTCGAAACCTCCTCTGGCGCAGCTTTGGACCATTCCCACGAGTCCTGTCACTAGATCCCAGGGAGAAGAGCTCAGCACCTCCCTCTGCACTTCCCCTCCTCAGGAAGCCATAGAGAGCAATGAGGTCGCCCCTCAGCCCCCTTTTCTCCAAACTAGACAAACCCTGTGTCCTTAGCCATTCCTCACAGGACATACTGTCAGGGATCCATACAGGGTTCAACGTAGTGTCTCTTGATTTTGAACCTTTTAATACTTCCGTTTAATCTATTCTGTGCATATTTGGTTTAGATTACAGTTGGGTATGCGGTGTGCTGTATCTTAAGGCAACTTGGAAATTAAGACTGGGATAGAGAAATGCTGTGGTTTATTTGTTAAGAGAAATTTCAAGACATTCTATATTATCGGCTGTGAAGAGGTTTCTGTATGAAGTTTCATGCCCTGCAAATAAACTACAAATCCTAGTGCCCTGAATGAATTACATTCTATGCCATGATAACCATAACTGTGATGATTTGAGGAGGCTAAGGGTGGAATTCCCATGACTGTATCAAGCCAAGTATGGTGATAGTGAAAGTAAAGTGTAAGAGGTTTGTTTTCCCTCCGCTCCTCCAATTCTTAATTTGAGCTTTTGGAGAAACCAGTGATAACATTATTGCTAAAGCAATAACGTAGCACTTTTGTACTGCATTTAGATTAGTTTATTCTTTTGTAATTGTTGTTACAAACCTGTAACTTCTCTTACTCAGTGCCAGCTCATCAAAAGAAGAGGGAGAATACACTGTTTGATATTCACAGATCTCCTGCAAGAAGAAGCCATATCAGGTAAATGTCAGTCTTTTGGTACGTGGTTGTGTGTTTTCCCTCAGTACATTTCTCTTAGCTTTTGATTTTGAAAACATTCTAGAATGGGTTGTACAGTTCATTCACGCATGTGCATGGGTCTTGAATTGTATCTTAGGTTCAGATCCTGATCAGCATACAATGAATTTCATAGCACTTCATAATATCAGTAGAAGCTTTATGATAAACAGAATGGAAACAGGTGTGCTGCAACTACTGGAAAGAGAGTTGCGCATTGCACACTGTAGCTTTTTCTGTAAGGGCATATATTTAGTGTTTAAATCCAAAGCAGCAGTTTAACAAATATCCCCTTTCTACAAAAATAAACAGATGAGAGTGATGTTTTTTGTTTTCTTCCAGTTCAACTTTCATCCAAGTAATGTGAACAATTTAATAAAATATTTACCAAAGGTCATTTTTAACTCTTATCTTTGTCAAAGAGAAGAGTGTAAAAGAAGTCTGGGGTACAGTGGAAACTGTTGGTATACTTTATTTCACAAAATAGATGAGATCAGAGCTTAATACATTTTTTAAAAAAGTAAACTTTCTCAGAACTTCAAAAAAATAAATGTCCGTGAACAGAATCCAAGTATGGTAGTCTCAGATGAAACTCTTGTTTTATTGCTCAGTTTAATGGCACAGTGAAAATATGAAAAGTAAATAAAGTAATAGCAGAATCTTATGATTCTACAAGTTTCTTTGTAATATAGATAAAAACATTTAATTTTGAAGAGGTTTTTTTTTTTCTTTCCCTTAAAGTGCGTATGACATTTTGTTGGGTAATCTCAGGACTTGTGCTTGCTAGTAAGATATAAAAAGTGTGAAAGCTATTATCCCTTCAGTTTTAGCATGCTCATTGCTCCACTCTCATTTTATCCCTTCTTGTCAGAACACTGTCATAAAAATTCTTCCTAATTGCACGATACTCTCTTTGATATGTTTTTAAATGTATCTAATCTTTGGTCATTGAACAGTAAAAGTGATTGACCATGTTATCCTTTGGCAAAAAACAGCTGGTCGGTGCATTATCGTGTTGATACAAAGATGCAGCTCGCTATATTCACTAAAAACACAGGAATTTTTACTAGTAGCCAACTTTTTCATGCAAAAAAGTACTGACTTTTTTTCAGACTGATACCAAACTGAACACCTTTTTGTACAGAAGATGTAATGTACATTCTCTAATATTTCTGAAATACTCAGTTTTCTGAAATACTGTCATACTAAAATAAGAAATAGTTCCTGCAGACTGAGTAGTAATTTTACTTAGATTCAGCTTAGAAGTTAAACTACAGTACAGGTATTTTGTGAAACTCTTCTGCTGTTCAGAATTAGTCACCTCATAAAAAGACCATATGCTTTAGGAAGTGATGAATTTTTTCAAAGAATGTTTAAAAGGAAGCATTGAACTGAGTAAGGAGATCTTGATATTTCTGTTATGTTAGAGGTGGCTAAAGCAGCTGGAAGCTTTCCTAAGTCCAGTTGCTGCCTGGTGAACTTCAGGAGCTTGTTGATTGAATACACAATCACCTTGCTGAGGTAACATTGGCTGGACCACATATCTTATGAGGACCTACTGTTTTAGTAATGTTCGTCTTGAAATATCCATGTGACAGTAAAAGATACTGTTCCCCTCCCAGATTATTTTGGTACTTACTTAATAAAAGTAGAATTTGTATGCATCTTAAACCTGAACAGTACTGTACTTGCAGTTTCAATTTTGTTTTTATTAAAGAATCAAAACATGCTGTTCTACTGCAAGAAGGACTGTGTTTTATGTTTATTTTGCCACTTCCATAGGAGAAAGAAGCATGCCATTCACAGCAGTGATACAACCTCTTCAGATGAAGAACGTTTTGAAAGAAGAAAATCTAAAAGCATGGCCAGAGCAAGAAATAGGTATCAAAACATCTTTGGTCTTTAGGAGGGTTTAATTTTTTTTTTTTTTAAATTATTCATCAGAAAACAAGTACAACTATTCTATAATGTTCTATCAGTTCTACAGACTTTTTTGATTCTGCCTGTAATTACCTGCAGACACAGTTGAGGTGGATTATTGGTTATATATTAACATAGATTTTTAAGTCTTATGAGTAGGTAATTAACAATAGTGATGAAAAGATGGAAAGATAAGAATATGTGTTTGGTTAACTTGGGTTATAAAACAAACAACTTCTGTCAGTTAAAATAGATTTTTTTTTTTCTTGGTGTTACTTGGTCCCAGTTAGTTCAGTTGTACTCCCAATACTAGCTCTTATTCTTCTCTCTTCCTATTGTGTAAAAATATGCGCATTCTGCACACACAACACATACTTTTTTGAATTTACATTTATTCACCAGGTATCTAAAAGTGAAAGATCTAGAAGGTATGTCAGTAAATTTACTTACTACCACAGATACATTAGTTGGAAAACTGGACAGGAAAAAAAGTGTTGCCTTATCTTTTTTCCATCTCCATTCCCTTTTCCATTCTGAGGAATTGCAGTGATGTACAACTACCAAAAGTGTAGTTCCAAGTGTAATCTGTATCTTACTGGTACCTTTCTTCCTCTCCTTATCTGTGTATTTGACCTGATGTAATATCTGTGTAGGGGCTTAAAGCTGCTTTGTATACACTAAGAAGCTGGAACATGTAAGTTGTGTCTGATCTGCAATAAATATTTTTATTTCCTTTCTTTGGACTCTTAATGAGCTATATTTTAAAAAATTCTGTTTTCCTTGTACTGTTAATCCTTTTCGTGCCATACTGAACTTATGCAGTTCGTCACTGCCAGTGGGAAGTGTCCTGTTCTTTTGGTCAAAGTTGTTTCTTCTTCTATCAAAATAGCCTGTCCAGCATTGTTCTCCAGATTGAAATATCTGTATGGAAGCATAAAACTATCTTTGTATTTGAGGAACTTCCAGATATACAAAAATAATTACCACAATAAAAAGGTTAGTTTTGGTTACCTTATCCATCCAGGAAGGTTGTCTCTTTAGGTAGTAGAAGGCATTTAATTTCTTGGTTCTTCCCATTCCAGCAAAGTGATCAAAATGGAACAATATTTATTTGGTGTTTTTTGTTGTTGTTGAACAGGTGCCTGCCTTTAAACTTTAGAGCAGAAGACTTAGCTAGTGGAATCCTGCGAGAACGTGTGAAAGTTGGGGCAAGTTTGGCTGATGTTGACCCTATGATTGTTGATAAATCGGTAGGTTTTGTTAGAACTTTTTATTTTCCTTCCTCCAATTATGCATAAGCAGAATTCACCACAGCCTCTCACTGGAGTTGAAGTAAATTCATAATAAGCTCACAGATCTTTTTTGGTTTTTTCCGAAGCTGTTGTCAGTTTATTCCTTTGGGCTACAAAGGACTTGCCTTTGGCCTGTAGGTCATCAACAGGCTGCATACATATCACAATTGCCCAACTATATTTCTTTGTTTACAGTCAGTTTGTGATTACTTGTTATAGTAGAAGCTGGGATATGCTGAGCGGTCCAGAAAAGCAACGTACTGACCACTTGGGTTGGTTAACTCAGTGCTAGCAATGTGGGTCCTGTGCCTATTCAGAAACAATGATGCACATTAGCTTATGGGGTGTGTTGTGCAGAAGCTGCTGCTTTATTACTAGAGCTGAACCATTGTCTAGAAGTACTTTGCCTGTATTAATGTTACGCTGTGCCTGAGCTTAAAAATACTTTCAGACTTAGACTGGATCTCTGTAGATGTCCAGGCGTCCCTGGCAGAGTTAACTTGTGAACCAGATAAACCTCGTGTGGGCAACAAAGAGTTGACTTTCTCAACTTTTTTTACACTTTCAAAATCTAGGGAACTCCTGTTGATCAGTGCAATGTTGTTTGTAATTTGTTTTCAAATATGTTATTTTATAAGTAGAGGTAGGTTTGTGGAAAGCTATTACAGTATATGCTTTGTTTTTTTTTCCTAAGGTGCGTTTTGATAGTATAGGGGGATTGAGCCATCATATCCTTGCACTTAAGGAAATGGTAGTGTTTCCTCTTCTTTATCCAGAAATATTTGAAAAATTCAAAATTCAGCCACCAAGGTAGGTGTATTTACTCTTATTGTTGTATTTTATTTTATTTTATAAGCTCTGAAGAATGGTTCACTTGAAAACACATAGGAGATTGATTCTTTCACTGAAGTGTTTACAGTTCAAATAGAGTTACGTGTTTGCTACCCTACTTGTCTGTCAGAATGTAATAAGCAGGATGAAGAGTTACAAAAATCTAGTTTATTTTTCTTGTAGTAGGAAGGTAAACTTTGTGATTTGGTCAAAGAAAGAATTCTCAAGTGTTCTATTTAGTAATACCTTGCCTTTTTTTTCATTATGTTATCAAATATTTTACTAAATCAAGCTAAATGCTGATGTTTCTTCTATAGAAGTAATCTCAATAATGTTATATTATGGTTTTAATATTTATTAATCAGACACCTTGGTGTGTGATTTAAATAGGTACACATAATCTAAGTAAACTGAAAATTTTGGAATATTTTTGTAATTTAAATGAAATACATCTCTTCAAAGAAGTAACAAATACTGATTCAAATATTACCTGAGATTTAATGTTTGAGGAGATATTTAACTAATGTAAAACAATCCTTTGGAAGCTTAATATACCTTTGATTAATGTTCTTTACAAAGCAAAGATTTACTTATTTGAAAGCAGAAAATAAACTTACATTTTATGAAGTCATATTGAATACATGAAATAGTAATACTAGAACTTAAGTCTTTCTTCTCCAGGCTCCCTGTCTTCCATTATAAAATTTGACTTGGAGTTTTTCAGGAGACATAAAATAAGTTTGTGACTGTGTTGATCCATTTATCTTCAGGGGCTGTTTATTCTATGGTCCTCCTGGAACAGGTAAAACCTTGGTAGCTAGAGCTCTAGCTAATGAATGCAGTCAAGGAGACAAAAAGGTGGCTTTCTTTATGAGGAAAGGAGCAGACTGTCTCAGTAAGTGGGTTGGTGAATCTGAACGTCAGCTTCGACTCCTTTTTGATCAGGTTAGAAGAAAATACGTATTTTTCATATATTTCTCTGTATGTTGGTTTTCTGTGTTTTAGGCAGGCAAAGTTATTTGCAATTGAAGCTAAATAACTGTAAATTTTCATAGATTCGCCAGGATTTGTCCAAATTATATATTCAGATGAAAATATAGAGGAATGCTGACAACAGCTTTTCTTGCTCTGAAAAGTGGGAGGTAGAAGTCTCTTGACTTGTCCATTAATGAAGCAGACAAAGTAGTTTGGGTAAAAATTAGAAAAAAAAAAAAAATCAGTTTGAGTTTGACTGGCATGTTCGAGATAAATGCTACATAGAGGAGGATGCAGGATTGCATCAGTTGTGTGTGTATTTTAGTGTCCTTGTTTGTCTTGGAATATGATGGACAGAAGAGAGAGTCACATAAAGCAATGAAATGCAGTTGCTCAAACAAAAGCTGCTTTTGGACACAGATGTCTAAACAAACAGGTTATGAGCAGAGAAGATACTGCTTTCTGTAACTGAGTATGAGATGTCTCAGTTTGTCTTTAATCTCTCCAACACACAGTAAAACCGATACACTGGTGCCATCTTGCTTATTTAAAGGAGAATGCAGTCTTTTTTGCTTTTTCTGAAACAGTACTGTAGTTGAAAATTCAGTTTTATTTTCAGACTGTACACTTTTTAACAAAGATGTCTCAATGTATGTGCTAGTCTAGCGTGTTAATGCTTTGTAATAAAAACAAACTGTTTTCAATGTTGATGGATAAATTCTGAATTAACAGTGAATTCAAATTCTTTTTTTGCATACCAGGCATACTTGATGAGACCCTCTATAATCTTTTTTGATGAAATAGATGGCTTGGCTCCAGTTCGTTCTAGCAGACAAGACCAGATTCACAGGTAGTATTTCTCATATGCTGCCATTATCTTGATATGTATGACATTATCTTGGTAAACTCTTAAGTGTAATTTTACTCAGTTCTCAAGAAAGGTTTTTACTTTTGCTTAAGCTCACTTAACACTAGAAAGGACAGACTGTTGAGTTTTTTTTGGTGTCGAAAGTCATCTTTTCAGTTCTTCAGATAGACTGTAATTTGCTGGAAATTGAAATCTAGTGATTACCCCTCAGTCACGTTATTAACTTCAAGATTTCCACAGCCTTTGTTTTGGTTGCTGGTTTTGTACTGTAGACAGATTGTCTGTTACCAGCCCAATAGAATAGCCAGTTGAAAAAAATTTTACTCTAAAATGGTGAATTGTCATGTTCTGTGAATGGAGACCCATATAATTTTGGTTCTGGATGGCATGATGTACAAATTTATCTTGAGTTGCTATTGCCATTTTTTTAAAACATTTTTTACGACAGTTTACTACTGGCTGAAATTTTTCCTAACTGATCTTCAATCTCAGTTTTGCTGTGCTTTTTGTGGCAATGCACTTGCATCTTTTGTTCTATAGGTACTGGCATTTGTGTATGTATCTCCCTCCACTCAACTGAGGGGGACAGGAGGGAAAATTTGAGGCCAACAGACCAGAAGGTTGTGGGAACATGTGACTTTGTCTTGATGCACCTTTCTTCTGCCTGGTGCTACCGTTACTCTAAACAGGATGATGCATACACTGTTAATGGAAGAGAACTTTTTGGAGCTGCAGTAAATAGCTTCCTGAGCTTGCATTCCCCAAAACTTTTAAAGGAGGAATTTTGAATTTGGTGTAATCCTTACTGGAATCATAATACTAAGTATAATACAGATTATAACAAAAGTTTCCTTCTTGCTTTGAGACTTGAAACAGTTATGTGACTGTTGGGGTTTTTTTGAAAGTGTTTTTCTTTGAAGTTATGAATGTTGCAGCTGAAAAAGTAAAAATTCTTGCCACTTTCCCTATACATTCTTTTTTTTGAAAACTTTTAGCTCTATAGTGTCTACTCTTCTTGCCCTCATGGATGGACTGGATAATAGAGGTGAAATAGTTGTAATTGGTGCTACAAACAGACTGGATTCTATAGATCCTGCACTCAGGAGACCTGGTCGCTTTGACAGGGAATTTCTTTTCAACTTGCCTGATCAAAAGGTAAAACTTACAAAGGAGATTTATTAATAAACATTTCTAGTATATTAAACATTTGAATGCCTGACAACCAAGCTTATGAAATACAAATATGCATTGTTACTTGTAAGAATGTTTAATAATTTTAGGAAGACATTTTTAGTAAAACCATATTGTATACGTAAACTTATATTAAACTTGAAATCTTCAGAATATAGTTAAAATTAAACAGAGTCAAATTGTTTACATTAAACTGAATTGCTGATCTAAAAACTGTTTTTCTATGGGTTTGTATAATGAAGCCTAACTACTGGGGTTTTGGAAGTTATGGTAAGAGAAAATAGCTTTGTGTCATATAGACTGCTAAGCACATAAAAATTGTACATGCAAAGCCGGATGTTGTTATATTGGCAACAGGAACATTTCAGTTCCTTGTTCTAGACTTCTATAAACTCAGCCATAATATTTCATTAATTTATACTTAAAATTAAATTTACTTTGTGTATTGATAGGTGTATATGGATTCTATAGAATTTTAAAATGACATAGTTTTGGAATTCATGTGTATATACTGTGCTACTCTGCAATAAAGTAATTGGTAGAAGCTGTTAATCGTAAGTGCAGCAATTAAAAATTAAATTATAAAATTATGATAATTCCTAATAGAACATGAGTTCTATTAGGAACGTCAGTTCATGTGTAATAATGTTGTTGATTAAACGGCAGTTAAAATGTGTAACTGGTATACTGAAAAAATTACTGTTTATACATGAAATTAAAAAAGAAGGGAAAACCTGTGCTTTTGAGAGACTTTTGAGTGCTGAGTTCTATTTTATGAGTCTCGATGACGTGTCAAAAACAGGTAAAAGAACTTTATATTCACATGAATAAATAATATTTTTATCTAAAATAGGACATGGATTTGACTTGCTAACTTAGATATTTTTTTTTTCCTTTTTTTCCAAATCAGGCACGAAAGCACATTTTACAAATTCATACCAGGGATTGGAACCCCAAATTGTCAGATCCTTTTTTAGGAGAGCTGGCTGAAAAATGTGTTGGTGAGTGTTACGATGTTAGTATTTTTACTATAGATGCTTTCTCTTCTATGTAAAACTTTGAAGGTGTGTTAAATGCGTCAGGATATTTTATTATTTTTACCTTTCTGAACTTCTGTACTTTCAACAGCAGTCCTTTTTTGTAATAACAAGATATGCTTCTGTCTTACTAAAACACAAAATGAGTAGCTAGTAGTCATTTGAAAATATAATCATACTTCCTTTCTGTAACATCACTGTCCTTCTGTAGGATGCATACCCTCAAAGAGATGCAAAATGAAGTGGGAATCGGAATCTTTAGGTAGACTTCCCATTAAATTAGTAAATTACAGAAGAGATAGGGAGGCTTGGGATTTTTTTTTCTGTCTACTTATGGAGGGACAAAAAAAAATCAGTACTTATGTCGGGTTTTTTTGTTTTGTTTTGTTTTTTACTGACTGGCATGCTCTCCTCTGACATAAATCCAACAAACTAACCAGCCTTTCTGAAGATGAATTTTTTTTCCAGATTGCTAGCACAGAGCAACCTCAAAGTGTAGATATAGGCAGGGGGGATAAAAAAGCACCACACCATGAGTACATTAAATACACCTTTGGAGCGCCCAAAGACCTGCTGTACTGAATGGAGGATGGTTGTTCAAGATAAACCTGCTGCTTAAAAGCTAATCAGGAATAAACCCAAATGTTTTTATAGTGAATTTAACAGAGGAAATGACCTTAAAACACACAGCGCGATCTCTTGTCAACAATTTGTCATGTGAAGATACATCCTCTGTCAGTCATGTGCTTGGACAGGCACTGAAGTTCTCAGAGAAAGGATGGTCTCAAATATCGGTGCATTGGAATCCATCATCAGAGAAATAAGAACTTTAAATTGAACATCAGTCCATTCAGTCAGCTACAGTACATCCGAATTATCCTCTTCATCCACAGGGACATCTATCATCGAAGCAGCATCCCTCCGCTTTTGATGTACAAAGACCTCAACATCTTCTGGTGAGGAGAAAACATAACTATCCAGCAAACTCCAGTTTAAGCTTTGCCGGGTATAAGACAGCATGTGCCAAACCCATTTCATGTAAATTCTGCTTCATTTGTGCAAAGATGTGGTGCCTGCTTAGTGGGAGAGAGGGGAATAGATGGGATAAAACCCAGTTGTTTCTTTAAAAATTCACCATATTTTTGCATTGAGAACACAATTATATATTTTAAAATTTCAGACCCATAGGGAAAACCGTTTGTAGGTTTGATTGGAAGACATTCTTTGTACTCAATAAAGCCTGTCAGTTCTCTGGAAAAGTCAGCTAACAAAAAGAAACACTCTTTTCTGTTTTCTTTGGCTTTCCTACTGTCCAACTACTGTGCACTTGATTGACTCCATTCTGTATCTTGGAATTTAAATGTTTCCACACATCCGAGATTAAAACCTTTTTACTATTACAAGGACTTTTTAAAACAGCTGAAGTAAGACTGATTTATCTTCTTCGTCTTGAGATTGCTTCATCATTTCTATAAGTGAAATCTGCAGCAGCTAATAATTTAAACAGACTTTCCAGACTCTTTGTGGCCATTGCAAATCGGATTCATTGGCACACTTGTCATATGATACAGCATATACTGGTCTGCTGTTTCCTCTTGTGTGCAGGTTTTCTTTAAAAACATCCCCCC